TACATAGTAATGAGATGATAATTGACTTTATATGTCAATGTCAAAGACAAAGTTTCGTCTTCTAGAGTGATATTGATAAAAAAAAAAACGAAGGTCTGTACTTTATTCTTTAGTCTATGCGAGCCATTTTTTGCTTTTCTGTCTTTTGGTTTACGTCACTATAGAAAAAAATGGATTCGTGTATATTTTTATCTACTTGTCAAAATTATCTTTTTCTAAAAATTGCATTTATTCAAGCACATGGTGCATGGTTTGTCGTAACCATAGTTGATAAATAAAAATCATTCGGTTATTTTTTGTCATGTCAATATATTTATAATTTTCAATTGACAAATAGAACCGGTCAAAAACAAAGTATAAGAAAAAAATTCAATTTTCTTCATATGGAAACATGACGGCCTTAAGTTATCATAATTTACTCTCTAATATTGTATTTGATCTACAGTATACTATCCATGAATTATATAATGTAGGACAATCATGCTATATCTTGCTGTATCGTTGTTGAAAATGATTATACTGCTGTTTTGTTATGTTTTATGAATTCATTATTTGAAAAAAATAACGAACAGTACAATAGCGAATTAAAAGAATCAGGATGAAAGAAAGTCGGCATAATATCTAATTAGTCATATGAGACATAATAATTTACTTAAAAAACATCGCCTTTGTAATTAAATGTCTCTCATATAGCTACTTCGTTGACAACCATTTAAATATCCATTGCATTGAAAAAGAAAAGATGAACCTTTTAATTAATTAATATATAATATAGTTTCTAGTGTTGAGTATATTCAGTCCTAGTCGGTACAGTGCTAATAGTACATTTCTTTGCTCCAGGAAGTGAACATTTACTTCATAGTAGGTATGATTGTAGTAATCGTAAAATTCAAAATTATAAATACAGACTCATTCAGTTATGATATCAGTATGTGCGTGTGTTAGTGTGACTTGCCGATCAAAATTTTCCCAGCTCTTTCGAAATTTTCCAGTTTATCGTAAAATGCGTTTGAAAAGATGACGTGCAAAATGAAAAATACATGTCTTGGAACGAATGGATAAGACGTGCACTGATCGTTTAGACAGATATTGATATTGAGCTCGAGTTGCTAAATATTTGCTACTATTTTTGTTATTGAATGATGAAACATGTCATAGTTATGGCAATTCGTTTTAATTCAATGAGTGATTGAAGCTATATCGCCGAAAGTGTATACTAAGATTGGCATTCCTAAAAGTTCCTACTAGGAGTAGAAGTGTTTTCTATAATAATTTTAATTGCATCGACTTAATTCTTGTCAGAACAATAATCTAAATGTTAAAATTACAAATTTGAAACACGAATTATCTTTATTAGGATAGAATTGAGACATTCAACTTTTGAAGTATTTAAAATATTGATGAGTACTGCAAGCTTATTTGAATTTAGTTCTATTTTCGATCAAGTGGAATACGTTTTCTGACAATCATCATTCAAGATTCAATCAAAAATTTCTACAACATTAATATCAATCTTAATAGTTTTGGATATCTCTTGCAATTCTATTGTTATAGTATGGTAAAGATTCAGGGCCTTGGCTTTGGAAAAAATTTACCGATCGAAAAAATTGATTGTTCGAGTGGACTGATGTGTTATTTGTTTTTTAAATGAAAGATTAAATATTTTAAATATTCGAATCACATGCTTAAAACAAGAGGATAATCTCATTGATAGACGATAATAGTATATGAGCAGCGATATTGGATATTTGTTGTCCAGAAATGCAGCTGATTCTATTGAATATTAATCAGAATTATTTGATTTCAAATGAGAAAGAAAACCTATTCATGAAAAGTTATAGATTCTCGATTAAATTTATAAAAAAAAACTGATGAATATTATCAATATTGGCATATTTTTATCAATTAATTGTCTCTCAAATAGACTGCAAGCATAGATTAGTTGTTATATTTTATCGTGGCTCCTTAGCGATAGAAAACAGCATTGTTAAAAATTCGATCTTGTAAGTGAATAAGTGATTGACTTAAGTTGCTCTTCATTTTTTCTGTTTAATGATTCTTTGAATAAATGGTAATATATACGATTTGCACTTTTGACAACGAATAATCCTTATCTACAATGTATTAACATGACATAGAAAACAAAAATATATTGCTCGTCTTAATTTTTGTCTTTTTCACATGTAAATATCACTCGTCCTTGTATCTTTCCAAATATTCATTCAATAATATGAATGTCTGATAGCATCCTACACCAGTGGCGGTGGAGCTATTAGGCCTGGGTAGGCCCAACCCTACCCTAGATTGGCGTAGGGTAAGTTCAAGTCTAAAATAGACTCGAGGAGATTAGGTTTAGGCAATCTTCAAATAGGGCACACCAAGGATTTGATAGACTCAGTAAAATATAAAAATTTTCTATTAATGTTTACTTTCATATTTTTTCGACCAATGACACATTCTTAGATTGTCAGTCCATATTTCAGTTACTTATAACTGTTCTGCATTGGCATATTTGTTTTGAATTTCATTGGTGGGCAATTAGGTTGACATTAGATTTTTTAGTCTTAGTATAAGATAGTTGAATTTCTTTTTCCAAAATTCTATTTAAAATGATTTTTGAATTTTATCGCTGACATAAAAACCAAATAAATTTTAGAGATTAATTGCAGATTACTCAAGAAAATGGCCGACTAGTGGTTGTAATAGAGCCGATTACTGAATCGGTAAAATGTTTAGTTTTTCCCGGTTTGCGCTACATTGTTAAATATTTGAAAACTATCACTCCTTTCCTATCGTGATACCGGATAAACAAAATCAGGGTTTATTTTTCTTTCACAATAAAATGCGCAGCTCGCTATTTTTAAAGGAAGTTCCTTTTTTATTGAAATTCTATTTAACAATTCAAATAATCCTAACAGCGGCTTAGGATTATGAGCAAGAATATTATTATTGAAGCAAAAAAATCTCGCTATCAACTGGATCAGGGATTTGTACGGATTTTATTTTAAAATATTAAGTGAGGAAAACGTTTTAGCTACGGAAGTTCTTTTTCTTGTCAGATTATTTTGTCTAGTGCCTTTTTCAATAACGCTTTTCAGTTACTGGGTTAATTTCTATGGTCTCGGGTGCAATCATGTATTAGATGGTTATCATGTTCATAAACAATCAAAATCTAGACAGAAAATCATCAGCGATCTTCATTGTAAAAGAAAGAATAAAAATACTTTTCAACTCGTTCACAGCTATAAATACAAAATTAGGGCTGGAATCAGGTTGGAATGAATTAAAAATTTCTCATATTGATGAGCTTTTAATCCATTTTCAAACGGTTCTCTCAAAACACAACCTAAAAAATTGAAATTTCATCGATTACACGATTGACACTGACTATAATCGATGAAGACTTCATAAAAACTAGAATGTAACTGGTGCGAACTACGTTAAAACTTTTCATTTGTCATAAAGAAATCAAATTAAAGCCTTATAGTAATAATCAAATTTGAATCCTGTATTTTTACATGGACATATCATTTTGCTAAAAATGTGAGCCTAGTCTAGGCTGAGATCGTTCCGCCGCCCTAGATGTGTGTGTTACAGTTAAATCAAAAATAAAGAACAAATGTTAGAGAGAATATGTCGGAATTTAAAGTACTTGAATAAAGTTCATGTTTGTAGCATGTATTCAATTTGATCATATTGCTGCTGGATAAAAAAAAGCATGATCAACAAGAAGATAATATTGTATTTCATTGTGAGATTGAATTCTCAGAAAATGTTTCACTTAAATGAAGAAATTAATTATAAATCTTTTCTCAGATTATGTAAATTTTCATTATATATCAGTTTTAATCCTTCATGATCTTTCATGTAGTATATAATTTAGCGCTATTTTGATATTCAATAAGTCGTATTTTTAACATGATCAGCATGGATTTGTATATTATCTGAAGAAGATGGAACTCATCACCTGGTCATCAACTGCAGTATTTTAAATAATATATATATATATATTATTAATAAAGTAAACAAGTATATTGACGTTGATGATATTTCATTTGCCGATAGGTCTTAGAAGAATCGACAATCATAATGTATGAAAAGTTTATCTTTCTCTCAAATTTATTTTACAGCTTTTTATTTTTTTGAAACATTCAATTCTATTTGTCCGAGTGTTTTGTTTTAATGAAATGAGGTACACAGCAGATTTTAATTTAAAAATTCAAAGAATAGAATTTACATCGACATAGTCACTTAACAAAAAAAGTAAAGAAAGAGAGAAAGAAAAAGAAAATGTTTATCGATAACTTACCTTTTTTCTTTCTGTTAGTGATCATATTTCTGCTTTTGTCTCCGGAAGGTTTGCACATGCACCTTGTATGTACTCATTTTATGAATTAGAGTATTCGGTACTTCGGAGGTTAAAAAATATGCAAGTAACGTAGTCACACATGAACCAATCGTTTCAGCTTATTGTGACAGAAGAAAGAGAGAAGTTTTGGGGAGATGAAAATATACTTTGCCATTTTTCTAACTATTATACATTAACTGTCTGCCGTTTTTTGTGCACTTTATACGTATATAGATACGACGAAAGCTTTTGTACTGTAGGAAAAATAATTAGTATGTTTTTTACTATGAACATTTAATAGGAGAACGCATTATGATGAGATACAAATTCTTCTGCTTTAAATAGAAAATAATTTTTTTCTTTCAGGTATAGTGATTTTTGTTTTAAACAATGTGAGACGAACATTGCTTTCATGTCGATAGGTTTTTTTTATACTTGAAGAAATCTATCAAACACAAAACTGAATGTTCTTGTTACCATATCATCTGAATGTTTGTATCTATAAATAACGTGTATATAACTCGTGTACTCGATAAGAATTTATTGCTTTGACTGTTTTTTTTTATTATTAAAATTCATTTAAATAAAATAGATCTCTTTTGCAGATATTGTTGATAATTCAAATTAACAAGAAACAACTGAACCAGACGTAATGATGACGATTCAATTAGAAGAGAAAAATCCTGAGTAAGCTTATATCAGATAGAAACAATATCTGTTGCATTTTTTATAATTATGCTACTATTGATTTTTTGCTTTCATAGCAATAAAAATAATAATACTAATGATATTTCGAAAACTGATTTGATTCCGGTTACCAAAGGTGTTCATCATGATATAAAAAGCATTTTAACTGATATTCGTACCATTTTATATGCAATAATCTTTGGTATTCTGTTTGGATTTTTCATTAACAAAGGCACGGTATTTGTGGCTCCTACTATTCGTAAACAGATGTTATTTCAACGTTTCGCTATGTTAAAAATGTTTCTTGCTGCTGTTGGAGTATCTATGTTGAGTGTGACTCTACTTGTTCTCTGCCGTAGAAACTTATATGAGAAGATTCTCAATGGCTATATTGAACATAATAGTCGTCGAGGCGGTAAGCTAGATTTTTTTCTCATCTATTCAAAGATTCCATGATTGGTGACATTTGAAAATAAATTTTAGTTCTTCATTATTTATTTGGTGGTACTCTAATCGGGTTAGGCATGGTTGTATGTGGAAGTTGTCCAGGAACCGTTTTTGTTCAAGTGTAAGTATGATTTTTATTGTATATAGAACTTTATTTTCAGTGTCATAACCTTTTAGAGGCTCTGGTATTGTCTATTCTCTGTTTACCTGTTTGGGTGGTCTTCTCGGCACTTATTTCTATTATGTATTTGTACATGAGCGAATTTCACAAGAAAAATTTCCTGCATCATCTCTTGTTCTTCGACGCCTTTGTGATGTTCTTCCTATTCCAAGCACTGGTTGCCATGCAATATTCGGTCTTATCTTCGTTGGTATTGCTATTGGCCTAGAATTCGCTGTTCCATGGAAATCTGATTTAAATCCTGGCCTATTAAGCAAAGGCACTGTTAATCCAGATGATGCAACAGGTCATTTTTTGGGCTTAGCTGCTTGGCCACCGTCGGCTTGTGGTGCTGGTGTCGGTCTGTTACAATTATTTTTCATGTATTTTCTGGAGAAATCATTAGGAGTTTCATCAGCATTTACTGTATTTGCTGCTCAAGCATGTCGTATCAAAATAATTGGCCAAGCAATGCCATCATTGAATTCATTTACTTATGGTCTCAAGAATTATGTAGCACTTCTATTTGCTTTAGGAGCTATTGGTGGTAGTGCTATATCAGCAGGTCTATCAAAAACAATTCCATTAGGTCCTGAAAATGGAACAAATATACTTAATAGTATTCTTGGAGGATTTATTTTACTGTTAGGAGCACGTTGTGCTGGCGGATGTACAAGTGGACAAGGAATCTCTGGTATGAATTTATATTTTTTTTTATAGCTCACATAAAACTAATTGCTTCTTTTTTGTCTACTACTTTTAAGGCACCACGCATCTTCTGATAGGCTCATTCATTACGACAGCATCTATATTTGGTGGTGGTATTATTTTCGCTTTCAGTTATTCATTGAGTAATAGCGAATGGCTTTTTCAAAACCTTTGAACTCTATAGTATCCTGAGCTAAATTTGATCAATAAAAATTCTGCAACTCTAGATAACAATAATTTTAGTTTCATAAATAAATCAAATGTGAAAAAATTTGAAGAAAAGTTGTTGATAAACTTGTTCTTATATAATAACTTAATTGGAGTTTTGTTTTTAATACCATGCATGTAGCATTGCTGGAAATTTTGAATAAGTAAGAAAATCAAAAGTATAAAAATTTTTCGAGGATCATCATATTAGCTAGTTGCCCTACACTGAGTCTAGTCAAAAATTAATAAATATTATGGAAATAGATGGTATTGGAATCTGTGTATTTAATATTAAATCGAAAGTGTCTTATTATCACTATTATCTTCGTTTCTATTGTTTATTATTGTAAATATTCATCGGCATTTTTACGTTTGTCTTTCTATTAAATGAATAAGTATCGGAAAAACATACATTCATACGAATAATCATAAAATAGGTAAACATTTTTTTCTTTAAAATTAAAATAAATATGCGAAAAGCATGAGATTCGACAAAAAAAATGTTGATTATGATAAGTCAATGTGAAGAAATATAGCATAGAAAGTTTATTGAAAGGTAACTGATAATATTAAGCATAAAAATATTTGTAAAATGTGAAGATTTTGAAAAGTGTTTATACGGAGAGAGTCATTGTATGAACTAGCGGGGCCACTTCCAAATGGTAGAGTAATATTCAACAGTTTTGGCGAGACTTGTTGTACTGCGGCTGTCTTTCCAACAAAATCAATTGTTGTAGGCAAATTTTGAAGGCATTTTGGATAACCGTATGCTGCAGAAACTATGCTAGGAAACAAATAATACAGAACTACGGCTACTGGGCATGGATAGCCGCCCAAAAGAACACTGGATGTGACATGTCCTGCTAGTGGTACTACATTAAAAATGCGTGTCGCTCTTGTGATTGATGCTATATGTGATGCTTGCTAGAATACTGTTGACGGACCCAATTCACCATAAAACATTAAAACCAGTGCCTGTGCGGCAAATTTACCGTAATCCTGATTCAATGGATATTTGGGCCATTGAGCACGTACTGTGAAGAAATTCGAAGGACGTGTAAGTGTTATTATCATAGCTGCACAAGTACGGGCACAACGTGTACTCGACAATTTACATCGAGACCGAAAGCCTCGCTACTAACACAGAGAATACATTTGCAAACCCAAGCACACCCATGTACTCGGTTGTATTCGGTCGTACTACCCCCCCCCCCCCCCCCCCACCAAACAAAAAAAAAAA